AAAAGTAACATATACGCCATTTTTGTTGCCCATTTCATATCGGAATACATGTTATTCGTATCGACATACGTCAGTTCGGATCACGTGTTCGTTTAATTATTTCCATTTTTGTTTTTCATATTAATTCTATGGCGCGTGAAATAACTGGTATATGATAAAAGTAAAATTGCTTTTATATATTAAAATAAGGATAGTTAACTAGTAAATAAAAAAATGTCAGGCCAGAAAATGAAATAGCTAAGCTGAGCAGTTGACGCGACTTTGCCGTTTTTTTTTTTAATTTTATCATATTATGATATTATTTTTACATATTAGCTTTTCTAAATGGCTAGTAGCAATCAAAAGTCATCTCTCTTTTTCTAAACAAAGCATTTCAATATGCATAAACCAGTATACATTTTTCATCCTAACTCCACGCCCATACATTTTGATTTTGTAATAATTTCCCAGTTAAACTACTGCTCTGAAAAATACATTTATTTGTAACTCATATCTTTTAGTCCATTTATTTTTATACGGTTCTCGTATTTCGGAAGTCACGGTATACGAGTTTATTTCGTTTAAAACTCACAACAGGCGCTGCAATAACAAACGTTGGACGTATAAGTACCTACTTCCCGTCGATTGCAGCTTTTTCAATGTTGCTTTCATATAAAACGCGGACCATATAATGCCATTGTTACACTTTTGAAGAGAACTCATAACAGTAGATTCCGATTTTATTGCAGTCCCGCGACGCAATATGCAACTGTGTAAAAGCGGCAAGGTCTCATCCTCGGCTACAATGGAGTCAGCTAAAATGCTTTAAATTGCAGCTATGTACAAACGTAAGACGTTCTTTGTTGGAAAAAGGGTAATATATAAACTTACTCTGAAATTGTACATATTTTTTATCTTGTAAACACTATTTAGATAAGAATTGCACATAAATCTTGTTAAAATTTAAATGTGTTTAAATATAAGAAGTATGTGTGCTCTACCTCATCTTTGTCAATTAACATTTTAATGTTAGTATTAACAAGCTGCTACTACATTCTACAACAAGAAACATAAACATACAAACTACCACGTTCCATGTACCTTTGGGAGACCGAAATAAAATATCTATCCACAGTGCATTCTAAATTAAATTGTAATTATTTAAAATGTGTTGCTCTTGCAAATTGAACATTATAAAATTAGTTACGCGTTGTAATTCTTTTGTTTAGAGCAACCTCCTTCATAGTTTTGTATACATTTTACCACATCATGTCTGAAGTAAACATACATTAAAGATTTTTTTAGTTCTATCAGATGTGCACATACAAATGTGTCAATTTTCAATCATATTAATATGTAGGATTTTGCGTAATTACTGTTCTCACTAAAACTCAAAGCATTGCTATAACCATAAACATTTGAGTGACTTGTGTAATATCGTTTTGTAATTACGTAGGCATATGCCTTGTTTGCATATTACAGTTGTTAATCAGCTCGGATGGCTTAAATGTCCACTGCGGCGCGTGTTTGAAGTTCTACCCAAGCTTGGCGCTTTTAGTTGCTTAAAATTAATTACGATGCAACTCGTGTTACGAAATTTATGCACAAGCTACTCGTACGTTTGTTGTAAAATCTAGCCGCAGTAATATGCGCGAATAAATCAACGCGTGCATTTAATGCTGGTGTGTCGCTTATCTTACTAGATACAACTAAGTCTGTGTGGACTTCAGTACAAACTGTAAGTTATGCGCGCACTGTAACGGCCAACGTACCGATAAATACTCATGTAATTGCACGTTTCCTTTTATACACAGCCAAATGCACTGCGAACAATTTCACACATCCGCTTCGCAGCGAAATGCCGAATGAAAATTTCACGCTTTACTGTTTTTATGAAACTACCAGTATAGATACGCTTTTGTGTTTGTATTTAATGTGTATTAAGTTCTGGTAGTTTATTTACCAAATTCATATAGAAATAAACTATGTTTTAGAATAAGGTGTTGAAGTAATTTCTGATTGGAATTATATTTCTACTATAATTAGGAATTTGCAAGATTGCGTGTTTTAAATTCTAAGGATAATGATTTTTTAAGTCACTAATTCATTTTATTTATTTTCGTATTTAATAAATCAAGTGTATACCCTATTCTATATAATTACTACACTATACTAATATACCATTTCTTGTAGGTACTTTAGTACCTACATATAGGTACACCCTCTGCATTCTACTCTACAATACCCAATATATGATCAGATTTTTTTTTTAAATATGTTTCGTGGTAGAAGTCCGGAGAGGAGTTAAGTGTTTAATTAATAACTTTTGGCGCACGCTCATTATGTCAGAGTATGTAAATAATGTACCGAATAATTGTTTTAAGTGTTGTTAACGTCCGCGTGCCAATTTCACACGACCATATATATGTGTATCTACTGCCAGTAATATAAAGAATCATTCAATTTAACTTAATGAAAAGGATTTTAATTTAAAAAAAATGTAAAAATATTGTTAATCAGGATGTCTACAAAGTTTCTTAATCGATACATTTTATAAGATACTTGTTACTATACTAATATTTCTTGCACCATTCCAATTAGTCTACCCCTGTGCTAGGATATGGTTATCAATAGTCGAATGGCTGGATTCGAACCCTTGTCCACGTTAACCATTATGTTATTGGCGTTTAATTTTTAAGCAAAAAAATAAAAATGTAGATTTATATTCGTAGTACACTTTAGTACGATTTTGTTTAAAAATTCGGGACAATTTTTAAATAAAAATACATTAAAGCGAATACTGTATTTCGTTTTTCTATTTATCCTAGAAGTCTGCTGGTGCATTTTGCCGACTACAGTAAATATTAAAAATACGCAGGAGAATTCTTATAATCCCGGGCGTCCTCTATTTGTCGCATTTTTTACTTTTATTATTATAACATACATTTTTAAAATTGAATTCATCCTAGCAACATCAACAATTCCGTTTCTATTTAAAATTTTAATAAGATTTAAAATGTTACAAATTTAATTAATTTTATTTGTTGCCGACAACGATGACAAGAGAAAACTAACTTCCTGAGACAATTTTCACAAAGAAAGGACGGGAACACTTCCTCGACCAACTTTATATAATTTCAACGAGCAGCAAAACTTTAAAACGATACCTTGCAATACCCGTGAGATTAACTCTTATATTATTGTTGAGCGATGAAAGGAGTTTGTAATAGACTGGGTAATAAGGAATGTATTTATAACAGGAAATAGAAAGAATTCTTTATGTCAAAACTTATTCTTATTACGATTTAAAATTATAATGACGCCTCATTGAGTACGAGCTAATAATTAAATTTAATTACAAAATTAACATGTAGAATTAAAATTAATGAGTCAGTAATAAACTGATATAAATGAAATATCATATAAATAAATATTATTTAAAAATATTTTGAATTAAATATTTATAAGCTATCCATGCGAAGTCGGGGCGCTTCCTAATGTCGATATATCATTCACTGATCCATCCAACCATCAAGCGATGAAAGTCAATTATTAGAAAAAGGCCTTCCTTAATTATCATCACTTCGCCGGCCCTGAGCTCTGTTAATCCAGTGGTATCCCGCTAAATCCTTCAAGCCATTAAGCTATCTTGTTGAATAAAGGAAAAAAGGGGAAATAAATACAATATAGATATATTCTCACAAAAATCGACAGGCTGGTTAAATTTCAAATATATAGTTAAAGACAGGTCGTGAACGAAGCTTCAACAAAACCCTATTCAGTCGTTCAACAAAGGCGATGACAGGAACGGATTACGATGATAAATGAAATAACTAGTACTCCCTGCGGTTCCACGGCCTAAATCTCTCCCGTTTCCCCATCGATAAGGCTCGAAAGTCTTTGGTTTCCGATAACAATGTCTTCACGTCTATTAGGTTAATCGATAAAGTTTGAACGTTACCCGCCATTATACTCATATGCGAAAGTTATCCTTTGCTTGGCTTTGTACGTAGGTCATGCAATTTAACTTATATAATAACTTTAAAATAATCTAGTTACTATCATTATGTTTATGACGTCATACGTGAAAGGTTCAGAGCATACTCAAGATATGGGCTCTAGGCCTTTTTATGGAGGGGAATGCTTTATCTATACTCCAAGCCCGGGAGAACGCAAAGTTATGTGGGATTCTTCCTGTAATGGGGCAAAACCACTAAACCACCTCTGATTCCTCCTACGCACGGTGGTGTGGCTACGGGTGTCAGCACTCTACCGCGTTGGTCACTAGGCCTTAGTCAACAAGCTGGTTGTGCTTGCCTAGTGCGAGAATCTTTGAATTTATTCGCAGTGATGGTGTCCTGTTATTAAAATAATAGGATTTAAAAATAAAGGCTTGTTAAGTATTAACTTTTTTGTGTATAAGGCTATTTACAAGTTGTATTAATAGAAGTAGAACACTTATAGAACATTTTATTGCGCTAGTATAAAGTTCCGAACAAACACTTAATAAAAAGCGCGTCAGCGGTGATCAGAGGTGGGTGTCAAACACACCTTTTTATATTTTTCCCATTGCGTTCAGTGGATGGGGAGTCATAAAAACTTACCACTTCATCGAGTGGGTTTCGTAAAATCGTGCTCAGTTCGGCAACATTCGCTGTACTTCGGATCTACTCGACGCTTTTGGGCGGGCGGAAATTCAGTCGTCTTTCGCCACCGCCAGAGGATGACGTATCTATAAATCTTTACCAAAAGAATTAGTTATACATCGCTGCTAACACAGAAATTATCACTGATAAACATTCGACGTGTGTGCGCTGAATTAAAAACTTGTTGTGAATTAAAGAAAATATGTTTAGAAAAAAGAAAGTGAAATTCGTGACTTTTAATGTGATGTACTTGTGAATAAAATTATTGACTTGAATACAGTCAGAATAATGTTGGGGTGGCTTAATAAAAGTATAGCATTCTCTCTTTATAAGGTAAGATTGAATCTTTAAATTGCTTCTCCAAATATTCGGGGGAATTGAATTAAATTTTGTATTAAGATGCGGTGTTGTTCTCTCTCATAACTTTTGAAGTATTTTTATTTTCTTTTGTTGTTTTTATTTTACTTTTAAGTCAGAAGTGATGCATATAAGTTATATATTTTGACGTGGAAGCGTGTTAATTAAAATTAAATAAATTTATTTTCAAAATGTGGTTTGGCGTGAGACACAAAAGTGCCGCGAAATTTAGAAGGGAGTTTACAAAAAGCCATTTAAGCTCTAAATAGAAACTCAGCCTAAATCTGATACCTAATGAGTATACGGATACTGCTCTAGCAGCCACCGTACATACTAACATTACATTTATGGCGCGTTGCATTAAAATTAAAAAGATTTTGTATGATTGGCATGATTTGATTAAAAGAAAGGCTATTGGAGAATTTATTTTGATAATCTCTCATTGTTCATTCATTTTGCATTAATAATTATGTTAGTATAATACTGTCCAGATTTATGAAATACTTAAGGAATGGAGGTCAGAGGTCTCTGCCTACGCTTCTAGATTACGGGAGTGAGTTTAGTTGTTCATTATGTATGTAATGCATTATTACATTGTATATTTATGTCTAAAGCAGGTAGACTTTTATCATCACAATTACCGAAACAAACTACAAAAGCGAAATTCCATCTGGCTTAAAAGGTTTTTGAGATATAACTGGTAGGTACATAAACCTGAAAAGCTTCCGTTTTTTGTAACGGCTCGAAAGCTTTTTAGTTAATTAATCTGGTACAGAACTAGGTAGATAGATCCGAAATCAGACGTCGATAACAAACAAACGAATAGAGCGGACATCACCATTTGTTCACGTTCGCACGGACGACATTTCGACGACATCTGTGAAGCCCATTTAAATGTCAACCTACGCTGTGCTTTGTGTCACAGTGGCGGCCCAGCGCTAGTCTCGAAATGCTGTGACATTTTATCACAAATATACATTTTTTACCTACTATTTCCCACACGGAAGTTCACATTCTTTCCGTTCCTTACATCTCAATTAGCCGTTGTATTCTCACACAAAACATCCATATTTTATTGTTGTAGGCGGTAAATCTAGATCAGTTTATTTATGACTAGCTTTCGTCCGCGACTCCGTTCGCGCGGAATTAAAAAAATACAAGTAGCGTATGTGTTCTTCCAAGCTATCGTCTACATTTATGCCAAATTTAATCGAAATCCGTTTAGCCGTTTAGGCTACAAACTCTAACTAACATCCATCCATCCATCTAAATTTTCGCATTTATAATATTAGTATGAAGTATGATTTGAATATTTGAATGACTTTCAACATTCACAACTCATCAGAAATAGCAAAGAGTACAAAAGTTTATATAGATCAGATGAATTATTAAGGCAGGTTTACACTGTTTTTGCTTCCTTTCCATTATTTATTTAAATAATGAAATATGTGAAAACCAATAACATTAACGGAAAGTATTAAAAATAACGACGGGCTTCAACGGTTATTTAACAATTATAATACAATATCTGTCTGGCAGTTTATTCAGCGGAGGCTTAGTCCGGATTTATGTTCTTTAATGAATTCCTGATAGAATGTATTGATTGTTTTATTCGATACTAGCTTTTGCCCGCGACTCCGTCCGCGTGAAATTAAAAAATAACAATAAAGAAATTAAAAAATGTAGCCTATGTTACTCACAGATAAATTACCTTTCTAGCGGTAATTGAATTTTTAAAATCGGTAGATTAGTTTTTGAGCCTCTTCATTGCAATCAAACAAACAAAGTTTTCCTCTTTATATTATTAGTATACATTAAATAGGCCTGTTTGATTTACTTTTAAGAATTAATAACTTCAGTTGTCTCAATATAATGCTTAACGTTCACAAAAGAGTTCGTATATTTTTTTTTATGAAACGTATAATTCAAATTCAGATATTAAAACATAGAAGAGCTATTTAATTTAATTTTGATAATAATGTTAGGAATACCAAACGGTGAGGAACATTTTATTATCTTTTTAATGTTAACCATTTCTAATATTTTGTAAAATATTATCTTAGATTACAAGTTGCATACTCAGAGTCCTTTTATGTTTCTTTTAAGCAGTCCCTTAGTTAGCTACATACTTTTTAATGAAAAACACTCTGTTCCAAGACATATCAATGTAGTTAATTAATTTATTTGCTTTGTTTCACTTTGAGTGATAATTTACAAAAATGGTCGAGGGTCTGGTTTCCTACTAGGTTTATAATACCTAGGCAATAGCCTGTCTTATAAGATAGGGCTCTTAGTACCTAGAAAAGTAATTTATAAATTAAGTTAAGCTAATATAAAAAGTAACAATACGTTTTGCAAACTGAGACGTAATTAAATACAGAAATTTGAGCGTTATTTTCTTGGAACTGGTTATTTGGAGGTTTCTTGCAAGAGATGTCTGGCGGCGCCTCGGCGAGCGCAGTGTGATTCATTATGACTAATTAGGGGAGACTTGTGACTTTGCTATTCATTTTAACTTGGAAAGCATTACCGTTTCGTTTCTTTGTAGTTTGACTGTGACAAATTAACATCGTGTTTTTAATGGCGTTATTTTTAAGCACACCAAAAGTGTTTGTATTCATTAAGAGTGTTTTAATTGGATTGTTATAACTATTCAAATGTTTTTAACTAGTGGTTTCGTATATGTGTGGTGAAATAAATTTGAATGGTAATTAGAGATTTGTTATGTATGGTAATATTATGTTTAATCGACCATTAAATTTACGTTTTTACGAGCAACGAGTGTGAAGTAAGGTTTGTTATACATCGACATATGTATTTGTAAGTATATGGCCGCGTGTATAAATGTAATAAGAATATATTCTGTTATAGAGCGTTATATTTAGAGCGGGCGCACACCTTTGACTAAACTATATCATAACTGTTGTTCGTTTGTCGATTGTTTCGCAGCCAATTCAACTGTTAGATGCACAACTAAAAATCGAGTAGTGTGCGCACCTCCATATCAAAGCGAGACTAAAGTTAGGTAATGCCTTTGCAATTGCAGATGTATATAGGATAATTACTTCGCTATTTTGGCGAGTCCAGGTGGGAGTTTACCACTTTACATTATGAAAATCTATGAGCGTTGAGAACTTAAGACAGTAATGTTAATATCTCATTTTGAATTACCTAATTGAAGTGAAAAAGTCAAATCTAAAAATTGGTGTAGCAATTAATTAATACTTTAATAAAACGTGATCAAATTTGAATAAACACAAAAGCCTAAAACTAGACAACGGTTACTATGAATTTAACAAATTTGTCGTCAATGCTGAATTATTGATGATAATATTCGTGATCGCGGGGAGATTACGCTCGCCGGTTCAATACCTCTATTATCCCTAACCATTTGTCATTATTTACTCTGACCCTTCGGGACCAGTTTTATATGTGGCATAAATTTCATGTACTGATTTCTTTCTGATTGTTCACAATCGTCCCTTGATACTTTCCGATCGGATTCAAAGATACTCCTTTGATATTAAAGAATAAAAATCGATTTTCTTTTACTAAACATTTCCTGTATTTTTTTTTATAACATAAGGTGGCAAACAAGCAAGCGGTCACCTGAATTCACCGAAATGAAAAGCGACCGCTG